CTATGCTACCAGAGATCCTCTGGTAGTTAGATTTATGCCTCTGTATTTGGGAGCTCTGGTAGCATAGTGCCTAAGGCATTTGATTGCTAACCAGAAGGCTGGTGGCTCAAACTCACCAGCCACTCCTTGGAAGGAAGATGAAGCAATCTACTTCTGTAGTGATACTGCCTTGGAAGTCCAAGGAGGGGTCACTATGATTCAGGTCCGACTCGATGGCATAAAACAACAACAACATGCATCAGTATTTAATATTATTTGGAGAAATCATAAATAGTATTAAATTATTATCTTTTAATTAATGAGTGTCTTCTCAAACAGCTCCCTCTCTCTGACCCCCTCCCAATGTAGGGTGAAAATAGACCTAAAAGAAATCTAATCACAGGTAATGTTTTGCTTGATAATCTACCTTACTGTTTGAAAGAGGTGGACCTGAGATACCATTCTAGTGTAGCTGGTAAAGGACCAGAATCACAAGTTTCATCTATGAGTCCAATAGTCATTTTCTTTGATTTAATATCCAAGCCACATGATCTTGAGCTACTTCTTCACTTTTCTGAGGTTTAACTTCATCTATTACAAAATTAAAAAATGCTTTCTTTACTATAATGCCGAAGAGATAGAACTAAATCAGGTAAAATACATGAAAGTATCTAGCATATAGCTTCAAGAAATGTTTCCTTCCATTCCTCCTTTCACTTCCTATTCTTCTCTGTCCATTTTCTTGCCTTCTCTTTGTTTCCTTTCCCTCTCCTTTCCTTTTTCTTTCTTACACCACTTGACTAGGTCTTTATAGGGGTGATCACAGTTCATTCCCCTCTGGAGAGGGCTTCAGTTCTAATTATGGCTCAACTAATTGAATCAGAGGCTCACTTCCAGTGCCCAGCTTATTTCCCAGAACTCCTCCTCCACTACATATGGCTTTGCTGCAAGATGTAACTATGACAATTATTAAATCATGGAGTCTGTTTCTTCTGCTTAAAGTCTTTATACTAAGCAGTTCAGGGACTGGAGATGCCTGATGGGCCACCTCTCTGAGTTTTCATGAAAGGAAGTCCATGTAAGGTAGTTAATTAGCTTGGGGGAGGGGAAGTATATCTGGGGGTACTTCTAACAGGCAACAGAAGCCTATTAGATCTTGTTTGATTTGGATGTGGGTCTCAACAAAATACCAGAATGGGTAGATAAGGAAGCTCATAGTTTCAAACAGAGATTCTCCTGAAGTTCTGGGGTCCATCCCAGAGGAATGGACCCAGACTATAGTGAGCCAATGAGGGTAGACATCCTCAAATCCATCCTGTACTAGAGATGGCTTTATCTGGAGCCCTATCTTAGTCAATGTTCTCTAGAAAAACAGAATCAATGATATATATATATATATAGAGAGAGAGAGAGAGAGAGAGAGAGAAACAGAAGCAGTGATAATATATGTGAGATATATATAAACCAAAGGAGCTCTGGTAGCATAGTGCCTAAGGCACTTGACTGCTACCCAGAAGGCTGGAGGTTCAAACCCACCAGCCACTCCTCGGAAGGAAGATGGGGCAATCTACTTCCGTAGTGATACTGCCTCAGAAACCCAAGGAG